TATTTTTTTTAGTTGTCATACAACTTAAACATAATGGGCCTAGTGGACCAAACCCTTTTGGACCCCGAAGCCCAAAACTAACTTAAAAGCCCAATACGAACCTTTCGTAAAATTAATTAACTAATTAATTAATCTTGACCATTCTCAATTAAACCATTTAATTGCTTATCCATCTCATTATATTTCTTCGCTTTCATCCTTACTCGGTGTACGATCCATTAGGTTCCAATTAGTGAGGCAGTGGGCGATTGTTACTCTTAACGATCGATTATGAATTGAAACTACATTTCAATTCTCCCTTTGATTAAGATTAGTTTTTGCTAATCTTCAGGGCTTCCACAAACCATGAGTGACACCTAGCAGCATGTCATGGTTACCCAAGCTAAGTAGAAGTGGTTGGAGAACCTATCCAGTTACAACTACAACGCAATACGGTCCTTCTCTAATACAATACTCTTAATCACATTGTTTGAGTGATAGTTTGTTTCATGTCTACTATCCAATGTGATACTTCTCTATATGATTCAATTGAATATGATTTGGAACGAACTTCCTAAGTCATATTCATATGCTTTGGCCAAAGACTCTCGAATCATATCTTAGAGTATTCTCCTTCTACCATGGAAGGTTAGAGATCCCTTGTTGTGCATTCATATGCCTACATGACTAGATAGCTTGACCCCAACAATGCCGTGGACACTCTCAATAGAATGCCTTTGACATGATCAAAGATCAAGGACCTAACCATTAGACATCTATGATGCCTCAGGTCAAATGACTACTTCGCATATTGCAACTTACGAGTTCTTACATGACATGTATGTTCGAACTCTCTTTTGATCATTGTTCAGTGTACTCGATTACTCTTTCAAGCACCTATGTGTTTGTCTTAGTGTCCAACACTAAATGACTTGAGACTAGTCATACTCATGCTTGAGTTGACATAACACATACTAACCTTAGCGGATTGTCAATGCCCAATTGACAATCCTATGGCTAGGAACGTTTTAGGAATGAACATAAGAGAAAGGTCTCGTTAATCTAACTTACTTAAATCACTTCTCTCTTAGATCAAATACATTCCTTGGATTCCCTTATTGCTTAAACACATGATACAATAAATAGTGATTAACAATAAGCTTGGCCCTTCATTAAACATATAACAGTTTAATACAATAAGTATTCCAAAAGCTATTACATCAAATGAGTGGCTTTGTGGGCATACTTCCAACAAAGCCTTGCAGTCTTTCTCCATGTTGGGCCAGAAATAACCATATCTCCTAAGTAACCACCTCATCTTGGTTCCAGCCTAATGTGATCCACATATTCTTTCATGTACTTCAGCCATCACTTTCATTGATTCTTTTTGGCCTAAGCACTTTAACAACAATCCATCTGGAGTTTTTCTTAGCAAGTTATCCTCCCATATGACATACTTAGTTGCTTGTTGCCTATTCTTCTTTCTTGTGGGGAAAGAAGGATTTTTCAAGTACTAAATAATAAGTGATCTCTAATCTTCCATATCGGGCTCCTTAGTCATTACATCCAAGACGAATCCTCTATAAAAGATAGAAGGGAGATTTCTTCTTTGCACTTCCACCTCTTCCTCGAATCTTCTTTCTTGGATCTGTGCTCCAGAAGCCAATTGTGCCATCTCATTGGCCTTTGCATTTGATTCTCTGAGGATATGGCTGACTGATATTTCAGTGTCCCAATAACTTAACAATTGAGTGGCCACCAAGTAATAATCGGCCAAAGTGATGTGTCTGCACTTGTGCTCTCCACTTAGCTGATTGATCACCAACTCTGAATCACCAAACACCTCTATTTCAGTTGCCCTCAACTCAATTAAGATTTCTAGGCCAATTATCAATGCTTTGTACTCCGCCCGATTGTTAGTATTCCCTTGATAATCCATGAGGAATGAATAATAATGGTGAGTACCTTTGGGATCAATGATGACAATCCCCGCTCCAGCAGTATTTTGAGTACAAGAACCATCAAAATACAATCTCCAATGAGTGATCCACAGGCTAGTTATTCTTTTTATCTCTTGCTAGATCTAATCTTTTATGCCTGAGAAGGCTTTGCTTGGTGGGATCCACACACTGGCTACCTCTAGAGTTCCTGGGATGTTGATAATCTCATTTTGAGACTCTTGGTGCTCGGCCAAGAAGTTTGCCATTGCTTGTCCCTTGATCGTTCTTTGAGGCACATATTGAAAGCTGAACTCTAAAAGTGCTAGAATCCAATTTCCAATCCTTCCAGTTAACATTGGTTTTGACAACATGTACTTAATCACATCAATCTTAGCAATAATGTGGATGTGGCAAGGCAACATGTAATGCCTTAGCATACAGGCAGTAAAGTATAAAGTCAAACACAACCTTTCTACGAGAGTATATCTTGTTTCTACCTCAGTAAGGATTCTACTAAGGTAGTAAATTCTTGTTCCTTCCCACCTTCACTGTTTTGAGCCAACAAGCTTCCCATTGATTTCTCAGAGGTAGAAATATAAAGCTTTAAAGGCTTCCCTCTCTGAGGTGGCATGAGCACTGGTGGAGAGGCCAAGTAAGCCTTTACTTTGTCAAAGGCTTCTTGGTGTGGTGGGCCCCACTCAAACTCTTCTTTGTCTTTCAATCTTAGCAGAAAAGTTAGCGACTGAATCTTGCCTGCCAAGTTAGCAATGAATCTTGCCCGCCAAGTTAGCAATGAATCTCCTTAAAAAGTTGATCTTCCCCAACAGCCTTTGTAGTTGTATTTTATTGGTGGGAGAAGGTGATTCCATTATTACCCGTGCTTCATTTTTGTCGACTTTCACCCCTCTTTAATGAACAAGGAATCCTAAAAAGTTGCCCGACCTCACCCCAAAAGCACACTTCTTAGGATTCATTTTTAGCTTATGGATCCTCATTCTTGTTAGGGCTGTGTGAGGTCTACCAAGTGCTGTTCTTCAGTTTTAGACTTCACCACAATGTCATTAATGTATACTTCCATGCTATGGCCAATTAAGTCATGAAAAATGGCATTCATTGCTCTTTGATAGGTTGCACCAGCATTTTTTAGCCCGAATGGCATCACTAAGTATTCATATGCTATAACAAAACCTGGGCACCTAAAAGTTGTTTTGTGTATATCTTCTTTAGCCATTTTTATCTAATTATAACTAGCATTCCTGATGAGTAGATTTTATATTATATATTTTACCCTAATCTTAGTGTATTTTGGTTAATATATTGGAAGAATTTTGATACTTTGAATTGTATTTTCAATATAGGATTTTCAACTTCCTCTGGAGCAAAACAGGACCAAATGGACGAATTTTGGAGTAATTCCAGTGGAGGACGTTCGTTAGTCACTTAGCTTGATCGTATCAAAATTTGGGATTTTTCCACCAAGCGATTATTTTCTGGCGATAAAATAAAGAAGCAGTGCGCAGTGCTGGAAAATGACGTTTTTGGGCTTAAATTGCGTTTTTAGAGCCCAAGATGACCTCGGATGGGTTCGTGGCCTTCTGGAAAAGTGTTCAGAATATTCCAAACATTAAATCCAGCTATATTGGGCCAGTTTTGGAGTAGCTTATGGGTCAAAACGTGGCTGTTCAGATTTTAGACGAATTTTTATCATTTAATTTAGGGTTATGTTTTCTAGGGTTTTGGGGTGGCTTGGCAAATATATTGCTTAGCCGTCTACAGTTTTAGATTACGCTTTCTTTTATGCAATTTTGGAGACAGAGAGAATTGTTAGGGTTTTGAAGACTTTTTACTTGAAGGTGCTTTCAATCATTTTTTTGAGATATTTCTATGATTTCAATTATGAATATGCGGAACTAATTTCTATTGCTAGGGCGAAGCCTTGAGCCTTAGCATGAATATGTGATTTTTATCTAATTGCTTATGATTGATTGCATGCATACTTTGAATTGTTAATCACCGGGATAAAAACTATCTAATTGTCTTAATGCCTGATCACCATTAGGATCTTTAGAAAAGTAATTTGATGCAATTTTGGTCGGAAGGTTCCCTGAAATTGACGCTGGCTTCTTGTGATTAATAATTGTAATTTCACTTAGGATGAATATCACGTCTTAAGGATTGCATGGTTTTTCAAAGGATTTTCATAAAGCATAATGAGTCTTTCATGTTTAGATTTGATCCGAACGTCCGGACGGGTTGCATGTTAGATATACGTTCTATGTTGGAGGTTCCAAGTAGAATATGAAATAGGAAAATCTAACCTTCAAAGTAGCATGTATAGATCATAAGTAATGGGTAAAAATTCATAGGATTGCTAGGTGATGGTGGAACCCTAGTGCTTTCTTAATTTGATTTTCTCAAAACTGTTTTCTTCTCTGTAATACTAATATTGCAGATTGTTTATTTTAATTCATTAAATTCGTTTTTATTTTAATTAGGTTATAAAATCAATCACTTCAATTTATATTTTACAATAATTAAATGGAATCTGATTAGTTCGAATTATTTAATAATCCCTGTGGAGATGACCTTGCGAAATCCGTTTATACTACAATAACCTTGTGATTCTTGCAAGTAAAATAGGAGGTTTTTATCGCATTCACATGAGTAGTAAAAATCCCTATCAAGAAAATGGCGCCGTTGCTGGGGATTATTTAAAATAATTCCTACTAATCAGATTTTCAATTCATTATTGCTGTTTATACATATCTAAAAAAAAAAAATTTAATTTTCGTTTTTGTTTTATTTTTCTCAGATTACAACTCTTGGTTAATTATTTTTGTATATCTTTTGATTTAATTGCTGATTTTGTTTGGTTAGTAAGTTACAATTTGTTTTTTTTTTTAGCAATGCAACAATGGAATTTGCAGTGCCCCCTGAATTCAATCTAACACCCGGTGGACCACCTCTTTGGGTGTCATTAGCAGAAAAGGGTTATTATGGATTTAAGCCAACAGTTTGTGCTCTTTGCAACTCAAGGACCCATGATATTTTACAATGTCCTGAGAGGAAATATTTTTCAGATTATGTCCAAGAGTATATATATATGAGAATCGATTCAAAATGGAACTGGAATAATCCCCATTCAGAGTTCTACACTAAAAGTTTGAAAGAGCATCTTGGGCAATATTTCGAGCAGCTTAATGTGCCACAAGAGCTTTCGGTGGAGGACAAGCTCGCTAAATTGTTGGAATTAACTGACTTATACATTGAAATAACAAATGAAGGATTTCAAATTCAAGCAGTAAACCGTGGGAAAAGCTATGATGATCAAGAGGTTGATGCAGGAACTGAGGAGCCATCTGTCTGTTATTCACGTCCAAAGGAGGAAACACCACATGCTGATCGTGAAACAATTTCCCCACAATCTTTTCCTCCCCAAGTATATGTGCCACCAGAACCCTTCCCAGCAGGGCTGCAAGAATGCACAAGAATTGATATGTTAGAAGCTGTTCATTCAACACCAGTACATCAGACATCACTTGATCAACTTTTGACTACTCTGACCATTTTGGAGTTGGAGCAACAGGCTACTGATCAGAAAATTTTGGTTGTTGAATTGGACACGCAAACATCACAATTCATCAAATTTAAAGAAAATCAGGATCAATTCCGTGACAGCCAAATTCCTCATAGAGAAATTCTGCCAGTGCAGAGGTTGTGTGTGTTAAATACAAGGTTCAAGGCAGCTCGATGGAAACTAAACCTCACTGGAAACAACCTTATTTGATCACAAAGATTCATTCACATAGAACTGCACTTATGAAGAATTCAACCACTGATAAACAACAACTCATTCCATACCTACTGTTGCCGTATGATGCTATCAAGAAGTGGTTAACTCGAAGGGAACAAGTGACGTGATCTTCAATTCTTCCCTCTACGTCTAGCTATAGACATTAACTAAAGCGCTAATTGGGAGGCAACCCAATTTTTCTAACTTTTTCTTTTTATTTCGTTTATTTTATTTTCCTGTTTTTATTCCTAATTACAAAAATCACAAAAATAAAAAAATCAGAAATTTGACAAAAGAATTGCAATTTTTAATCATTGTTATTTTTCTTTACTTATCTAATTAGTTTTTTTTTTTTATTGCAGGTTGCATTCGTAACTGATTCGGCCTAATCCCAACTAAGGGGGTGCAATCAACATTTATTCCCCCAGCACATTCATCATCAATTCATCATCAATTCCTCTACATTCATGAGATTAGGCAGTGCGGAGTACAAGATTTTTACCTTTGCAGGCACTGGATCTACATTGTAGCTGGTGTTCCTTTTCATTGTCAGTGTTCCGCTTCCAGATCGTCGACCTTTGCACCCTAACAAGATGCACATATTTTACACATGCCGGGTGAAGCTTATATGAGACATGCAGTGAGAGAAGGCTAGTAATTTTACCCTTTCTGTCTCGGATCTGATCTGCTTGCATATTGTTTTTCATTTTCCTCGTGTTTGGTCAATGGCTCCACATCCTCGCAAAGGAAGCAGATCAGCATGAGTTAATGTTCTTTTCCGTATAAAAAAAAATCATCAACTGTGCACCTATTAAACAAGGACATGGACGAAGATTACCTTTGTGGGAAGATTTGAGCTTTGCTACCATTTCCATGGCAGAGTCGTGGGTGTGGTTGGCTAAGGGTGCGACGGGGCGATATTTTTCATTTTACGAGGAGCTGCTGTGAAGAGATGTTTGAACCGAGAGAGGACTGACATAAAAAAAAAAAAAAAAAACCTGGAAGGATGACGGAGATGCTGTGAATGAGTGGGTTGCGTGGGTTGAGGAAAATGGAAAGAGAGACTCTTCGGTTTATTTACTGAGCGAGACTGATCTTGCTCTTCTGAGAAGCCATGAAGGAGAGAGAGCAGAGATATGGGATCCGAGAGAAATGAGAGAACAACGAGAGAGAAAGAAGGACATTTCAAATGATGATACTTTACGAACATTTCAAATGTTAAACTAATCTAGTTTAACATATAAAGGGCAAAGATTATTGTTTGAGTCGTCTCATATAAATGTTATATGCTTAAACGATAAAGTCCAAGGAATATGTGATTGGGAGAATGCAATCTAATGAAGTTAGATTAATGAGACCATTCTTTCGTAGACACTTCCTAAATGTTCCTGATCATAGGATTACCAATTGGGCATTGACAGTCCGTTAAGATCAGTACGTACTGTGTCTTCTCTCAGGGAGAGTGACTAGTCTCGAGTCATTGGTGTGTGTGACATCAAGACAAGTACGTAGGTGCTCAATAAGAGAATGAGTTCACTGAACGTGATCAACGAAGAGTTCTTATATTCCATGTCACATGAGAACTCATGGTTGGGATAATGCAAAGTAGTCCTTTGACCTGAGGCATCACAGTTGTCTTGTGGTTAAGTCCTTAATCTTTGATTATGTCTAATTCACCCCCTCGGGGTGTCACGGCATCGTTGGGGTTAAGCCACTTAGCTATGGAGAGAAGTGAATGCGCAACAAGGGATCTCTAACCTTCAAACAATTGAGGGAGAATACTCTATGATATGATTTGGAATCTCTGGCCAGAGTATGAATGAGATTGGGGAATGCGTTTCCAAATCACATTCAAGGAAATCATATAAGCAAACGATTCACATTGGATAGTAGACATAAGTAAATAAACTATCATACCAAACAATGTGGTCAAGAGTATTAGATTAGAGAAGGACCGTATTGCATTTGTAATCCCGAACTGAATAGGTTCTCCACCTCTTCTGATTAGCTTGGGTAACCATGATATGCTGCTAGGTGTCACTCATGGTTTGTGGAAGCCCTAAACGTGTGTAATCACTAAAGGGAGAATTGAAAATAGTTTCAATTCACAATCGATGTAAAATGGTTTTTAATCGCCCACTACCTCGATAAAAGGAACCTAATGGATCGCACACCGTAAAAGGTAGAGATTGGAGATTAAACGGAAATGAGTAAGAATGATTAAATGGTTTAATCATTTATTTATGGCAAGGATTAATTAATATGTTAATTAATCAAACGAATAAGTTCGTTAAAAGACTTCGGGATAGTTTTGGACCTTAAGGCCCAATGGGCTTCGAACGTCAAGCCCATTAACTTAAGTTGTATGACAATTTAATGAATAAAGATTCATTTAAAGCCCAAAAGCCCAAACATCCCTAAATGGCCGGCCATATTAGATGAATTAGGGTTTTGGTTGTTTAGGTTACTTAAAGAAGTGACTATATAAATGACTTTATAGCCAAAATTCATTAAGGAAAAATTAAGGGTTTATTTTGGGGGAAAATTGGTGAGAATTGTCTCTCCATTTTCTCTCTAAAGAGGCCAACACCTTGGAGGGTACATCTAGCAATCCTACTACTCCAAGGTCACTCATTTCTTCTACAATCAAACCTTGGTGAAGAGACTTAGAGGTTCCCTATTTTGGGAACTTGGAGAAACCTATTTTCCATCCAAATCCATGGATCTAAGAAGCAAGGAATGAAGGCCCTATCTCTTTGGGTGATTAGCCTTTGCTTATGCAAAGAGGAATCTACAAAGGTAATAATTTCAACTCACTTTGTTTTGAGTTGATTATTGGTTCACCAATCTACTAGGCTTTGAATTTCATGGTAATGTTTTGTTTTTGAGTGCATGCAAGCATGATTCCGCCTTTAATTGTTAATTGCATGCTATATGATGTTGCTCAAATGAACATGTTTTCACAAAATAATTCCTTCAAGTGGTATCAGAGCCTAGGTCTAGTAGTTGGTGAATCCTTTTGGGTTTTGTAGTTCATAAGTTTATGATTTAAAAGTTGTAATTGTTACAAGCTTTATTCTTGCTTCTTTCAATGTAAATTTTGTTTGAAAATTTGCCATCTCAAATGTTGTAGATGTAGTTCATATGAGGATGAATATTGGAGCTAAAATTTGGTGCCATGATTTTAGGGATTTTCGGCCAAATCCAAAGGGTGATTTTTTGGGTTCATGTTTGTCTTGTTAAAATGGTTTTAAGGTGACTTTTGGAACCCCTAAGTACCCTAGGATGTTAGCCTCATTTTGAATGATAAAAATTTGAGTTTTATTGCATGAAAACATTCATGGAGCTCTTATGGGTTTTCATGGATGTTCTTCATATGTTCTTGATGTTCTTGCCAAGAACACAAAGGTTTGTGTTTTGATTCAAAGTTTTGATTTATTTCATAAAGTTTATGATATATGTTTTTCAAATGATTTATCATGTATTTAAAGTGTTAAATATTTGTATAAATGATGATGGAAACATCAATCATCAAAACATATATTAATTTTATGAAAGTATTTAAAGTGTTAAATATTTGTATAAATGATGATGGAAACATCAATCATCAAAACATATATTATTTTTATGAAAGATGAAAGCACTACTTGATTGTTTTTTGACAAAACTAATAAATCAAAACATCCACCACTCCTTTTTATCCTTAAAAACCGGCCACCCTAATAAAATAGGGTAATTTTGGGGCTTTTATGCAATTACATAAAGTTTTGATACTTTTGTGTATTTGTACTTTGACCCGAAAGTTTACGTTTTGACGTTAAGGCCTAAAAACGCTAAAGGACAAATTGTTTTGCTCCTTTAATGAAGTTTTTGAATTTATTTAAATTTTGGGTTCTAGTTGTATTTACATGAAGTAGTGACTTTTGTGTTTTTACAAAGTGACCCCAAAAGTTTATGTTTTCGCAATATGGCCCAAAAAGTTGTGGTTATTGCATGATGGCCCAAATAGGATGAGAACAAAATTGTTTTGTCTCTTTAAATGAGAATTGGATTTTCATTTTGTTTAGCTCCACTTAAATCAATTTTATGGATACAAAAACCAAATGAAAATGTTGCATTCAATTAATTAGTTAAAGCGTTAATTAATTAAAGGATGATTATGAACCTAAGCCTAATATAAATTGAGCTATGTGAAAGGCGTTTCAAATTTGTTTGAACCATGGGAATGTGTAGATTAGATTTTGGTTGTAATTTGATTTGATCAAATGTTGTAAAAGGGCATAAGTCCTTCTTTACTTTAAGGTAATTTGTTTTTATGCAAATGTTGTAATGAGCATAAGCTCATCCTTTACTTTGAAGTATTTCTTTCTTGCTTTATATGATATGCATGAAAATGAAGTAATTGGGTCCAACGCCCCTAAGACAACACGCCTTAATGTGATTAAACACGTAACTAAAATCAATCTCCATCCCTAGACCGAGATTCAACACAAGGCTCGTGTTGAATCTAAACAAAGGTTCATAGTCATCCTAAGGCCCTAAGGCAACTATATAGTCCATCAAATGAATGCAAACCTTATGTTAGTAGTAACATATACTCTTGCTTTTAAAAACCGTTTTAAAAAGCATAGTGGGAGTATTATGTACAACTAAAACAATCATATGGACCAATAGTTGTAATAGGACCAAAAATAGTTTTAATAGAGATTAAAATGTATATTGATATGTGATGAGACCTAAAACCCTCAAACCAAACCAATATTAAGTTGAAAGCGTGAGAGTGCTTAGAACACTCTTTCGTGGCCTTCCACCATGGTAGTTCCAATCGTTTATGACTTGTACACCGGCTTCACCCTATCATGGGGAAGTACAAAGTGCATGCTTATACTCAGGAGGAGTCTATATACATATGATGAGGTGAGTGTAGGCAACGAGGATGGCCAATATCGTATCATCGTGAGGCTATTCTTGAAACCCTTCATGAACTAAGCATGGTGGGAATGACTTAACTAAGTGCAATGGAACCAATATCATATCATTGTGAGGTGACATTCTCTAGAGGCCAAATAAGATGGGTACTTGCATTAGTTGCAAATGAGTAAGCGTACTCTCTCATTATTATTAATGCTAGCCAATATCATATCATTGTGAGGTGGGCTTGGTAGTAGTGAGCCTCCCATAACCTACTAAGAGTTTTCATCCAAAACTCTCGAATTCCAATGAGGGATATGGAATTTGCCAAAAATAGTGGTGGTGCTATTTTGATTTAAAGACCCGAATCAAATGGCTTAAAATCAATCAATCTATATTCTTTATGTATTTGTTTTACCAATATATTTGCAAACGCTATCCAACACTTGACAAATAAAAGCCGAACGTTTAGTTTACGGACTTGGTAACTACAAAACCATAGATTGTCTTTAATGGCTTGTAAAATGTACCTAAGTAGTCTCATCCTCACAATCTTCCTATTGATAATGTATCATTAGAAGAATATGTTAGAAAAGGTCTATCATAGAGAGGACAACACTTTTAATGTCATAATTCTTCAATTACAAATTGTTGTATGAAGAAATAAGAGTTGCTTTGAACAACCCTTAGTCAATGCAAACACTTAGTGCTTATTTCTTTGTTAATTGAACAAAGAACTTGAGAAGTAAGCACAAGGGCATGGACACTTTATGTGCCATGATTCTTCACTTACAAATTGTTGTATGAAGAAATGAGAGTTGCCTTGTACAACTCTTGAAAGTTTGTAATTATGTTTAGAACATAATGGTTGGTTGACAAAAAAATAGTCCATTAACATGGACTTATGATGATTTTGAATCATTGAGTGTTGAAGTGTTA